GGGGGTGGGAAATGGCCGGCGGGGGCATCGTCTTGTGCCGCTGGGCTGTGCACGGGCAGGCAAAGGGCTGCTGTGGCTGCTCGTCAAGTTTTCAGGTAACTTTATCAGCCTTAACTGCCTGTCCCCAAACTACTGCAGATAAGAAGAATGTGGAATCCCGCACGGATCACATCTTGGAAATGGGTGCCAGACACCTGAAGATAGTCATCCAGCCGGGAGAAGGGGACCTGAGCAAGAGCCAGTTTACAGAGCAAGCCTCCCCCAGCTACTCCGTCCCTTCCAGCTCTTCCTCACCTCAGCAGGAGGAGCTGGCAGCCAAAGACCATGGAGACATGGCGGGGGGAGGTCGTATCAAAAAAGGAAATCACGAAGACGGGAGCCGTGTCATGACCTGCCCTGCTTGTAGTTGCACGAGTCCTTTGCGTTGCTTTGTGTCGCACTTCAATATTTTATGCCAAGCAAATGTCAGTTACATTATCTTAGTCAATAAAATGGGGGCAGGGAGCAACTTCTGAGTGCTGGACCACAGGTCATCCACACATTAACAGGCACCATGTTCTCCAGCATGGCTTTGGCACGTGCTAACCACTGCTCGCCAAACCGGCACGATGGCAGGTTTTGGGGGATAGTATGCACCAAGGACTGCTCCCAAAAGGTGAAAAAATTGTATGAGATTTGAATGCTTCCTGCTACGCAGACCTCTAACACTATTTCAGCATGTTTTGCACCTTCAGACAGCCCTAATTACTCCATCCTTTACCTCAGTGTTAAAAAAATCTGCTCTGATGGGCTGTAGCACAATCAACATTATTTCAGACACTTTGAACTAAAAGTTATGCAGAGAAGAAAAGATCAGCCATGTTAAGGACGTGGGGTAGGGCCAGGCTACATGTTACATGATGTGGATTTGGCTCTGCCGAGACACTGATATCTGGCCCAGAGAGTTTACTTTGTTTTGCATAGTAGTGTAGAAGTAGCTTTTGAGGTATAGCATGTGCTAATGTACCGGTTATTTGACACCTGTAGCTGTATACTGCAAATTTCCCTATCCTTCTGCCTGTGCAAAGTAGAGATGCAAACACGTTTGCTATTATTTTTCAGAATTCCCTTTTCTGCCTTAATCCTGAGTTACTAAAGCATCACTTTGGGGAAGTTTTTAAAGAAAGGTAGTAGAGAAAACCAGAAAGTCTAATATACAGAGAGAACAATGTAATATAACTTACATGCGCTGTTAAAACATGTTGTGTCACTGTCACCTGACACTAAGGGGACAGACAGGTTCTTTTGCGGATCCTTGGCATAATGATGATGGCACCAAGTTGTAGTTGCAATTAAAGCTTTATATTTTTTAACAGGATTTTATGATTAGCATAATATAGAATTAATGATCAGAATAGCACAGGATTTCTACAAGCAGAATCAGTGTAGTACAGTTTTATAAGTAGCATAGCACAGAATTTTATAGCACATCTTAGCTTATGGTTTCTAATAATCTGGACCCTCTGTAGATCAGGTCAAATCTTGGCTTGAGTGTGGATATAACAATCATAATCTAGACTCAAAAAACACATGAAAGAATATGAGTCATTCACTCAGTCCTCAGAGGAAGCAGAGGTGTCCCTGGCCTTGGGGATATCATGGCTCACACTGTCCAGCAGCAGTTGCAATCCAAGTTCATGCTTAGGACTTGTAACTGATTTTATATACAGTGCGTTGTGTGCTGTTACACTTCCCTGTTCTGTGATGGGGTCATCACCACCTGGCTGGCAGGGTGCCTGGGACCTTCAAAGCCAGTAGGGAGGGGAGTAGTTGGTCCAGTGCCCAGGAACCTTGAGGACGATAGGGAGGGGAAGAAGAAATCTGTTTGCTTTGTCTACTTGGTGCTCAGGGCCTCCAGGGCCTGATAATGAGGGGAAAAAGAACAAATACGTGACCAGCTTGGTCACAGAGAATGGCCGTTTGCCTTATAAAATGGCGTTAGTTATGCTAACCTTATTACCAGATGTCAGGAGTAGAGGATACTGGTCACAGTCTCAGACTAAGTAGGAAAGTTATTGTCTTTGTTCCTGCAACGCTGATGACATTAACAAATTTCATTTTTGCTGCTGACTTAGAAGCAGGTCGCTTTACTTACATGTATGTAACATCAGTATACATGACATAAAAGAAACACTGTGTGCACATGTGTCTATAGTAATCTGGCCCTACTGTACAGAGCTTTTCTGTACTCAAAATACAGAAGCAGCAAGCAGAGAACCTTAAAAAAACCAACTATTAGTATCTTCTTGTCTTCTCTTCAGATATTTCTCACAGTATCTGCAACTTTGAATACCAGTATGTTCACCGAACAGCAAAGGGAGAAAATTGCCATTATATGTCCAAACTTAAAAAGAGAAGGAAATCCTGATATTGATGGCTCTGAGAAATTGACGGGAGATTTTACAGATATTGAAAAAGCTTATCGCTACTTTAAGGATATCCTTGCAGGCAGTGACCCAAACCACGATTTTTCACATTCTGAAAGTAAGAATGGTTTCAAAGATGAAAATTGTCTGAATACTGAAGAAATGAATGAGGTTATAGTTGTGTCAGCTCTCTATGAATATTTCAGTCATGCCTGCAAAATACAAATCAAGGAACTATGTGAACGTTTTGAAGTGCGTATAAGAAGTAAAGATCATCACAATGGAAACACATCAATATGCTTCACTTCTGATAAAAATCCTGCATCAATACAAGAAGCTAATGATCATTTTATCAGAACTTTTCAGAAAAGTGTAGGAGATCTGAAACAGGAAAAAATTCCCATACCAAACAGATACACATTAAATGAGACCATAATGATATTAAATGCCAGGTTCAGTAATCTTCTTGCCAAAGAGGAAGGGAATCAGTTGCTTCTCCGTGGTCCAGCAAGTGAGATTTCAGCTGCCAAAAAGTTTCTAGTAGATGAAGGTGAGAACAGCCAAGCTGAAAAGAATATGAAAATATCATCTGAACTGTACAAATACAGGAATGGAATCGAAGTTGATGCTTCTGTGTTTAAATTGTTGGAAACAATATTAAGCAAAGAAATTGAAGGCTTTAAAGACAAATTTGATACGGTAGTAGAAAAGAAATGCAGTTCGTATGGCCGGAAAATGCTCATAATATTTAGACCTAGGGTCAAAACTTCTGATATGTCTTCACACGCTACTGAAAGTTTCATCAATGCATTTCAGAGTGCCTCTGCAATGTTAAAAGAAAAACTCATCAGCTGGAAGCTTTCAGAAGATCAGAAGAAAAGATTAAATATGCTACTTAATGGAAAACAATTGGAAGATCTGCATGTAAAACTTAAGAAGCAGGAAGACAAATTCATCTTAAGTGGTTTACCAACCCATCTCTCTGCTGCTGAAAAGCACATTATGAACCTCCTTAACACTGAAGACTCAACACAAACTAAAAATACGACACCACTGTCCTCTGATCTCAGCTATCAAGAAGCTACAGGAGCACCTGAGAAGAAATACGATGGCAGGCAAAAGAGTAATCTTTCTTCCAAAGGACAGTTTAAGGCAAAGACAGAAGAAGAAGATGAGTGTCCAATTTGCATGAGCAGAATTAATAATAAAGAAATACTGAAAAAGTGCAATCATGCATTTTGCAAAAGTTGCATCGACAAGGCCATGACTTATAAGCAAGCTTGTCCTGTTTGCAATACTGTCTATGGAGTCCTGAAAGGAGACCAACCAGAGGGAACAATGTCAACTAGAGTGACATCTTCATCTCTCTCTGGTTACCCCTACTGTGGTACTATTGAGATTACATACAATATGCACAGCGGTATTCAAACTGTAAGTATATTTAAAGATTAATAAAAGATATTTTTCCTACAACAAAACCAATATTGAATATAAAATTAACAATTTTTCCATCATTTTAATGCATGTCCAGGAGAGACATTTCTTTGTTCTGTACAAAATCTGCAAGTGTTTAGTTCAGTATTTTTGGGTGCAATTAAATAATGTAGTAGGAATTAAATAGTCAAATGGTAGCCCTCCATTTTACATGCACCAGGACAGAGCTACCTGTCTTTAATTTGTAAATTGGGAATAACTGAACTGAAATCTATGGAGTGATGCCATGTAAAGGAGATTTTGTGAGTATAATGAATATTCTCTAAGGTATTCTCCTGGCTGCTGACACCAGTGGACAAAAATGAATAGTGGGCTGGTTTGTAAGCTTTCCAGGTGAGAAATCATCTTATGTCATGTGCTTAAGAATCATGACTAGGACTGAAAATGGGATAAATGAAAAAGTTGGGGGTGGGGTGACATGCATTTGAGAGAGCAAAGAGTAAAAAACAAATTTAACAGTGAATGCATGACTGATGACAAGAAAATGTGAATGAAACTTGTATGAAAGAAATTGTCTAATGAGAAAAAAAAACACCTCAAAATCAGTCATCAGTCATGCTATGTCCTTCTGAATCAAAGACAGGATAAAAGTATTGCAAAAGCTGGGATGTGTGGGTTTCACAGTTTCAAAGCATTTATGATATACAGTGTGGGTTTATTTTGTTTTTCTACAAAACAGAGCAACCATCCAAACCCAGGGAAACGTTATCATGGAATTTCTCGAACAGCATATTTACCTAACAATAAGGAAGGGCAAGAAATTCTGCAGCTCCTCGAACGAGCCTTTAAACAAAAATTGATTTTCACGGTGGGGACATCACGTACTACTGGTGCACAAGGTGTTATCACATGGAATGATATTCACCACAAAACCTCCATGACTGGAGGACCTACCAAGTAAGTAGTCTTCTCTTTACATAATTTTATTCCTACTCAAATGTGACAGGAAGGCTACCCTGAATATTTTCCACCTTAGAGCTTTCAGAGTTTTCATAGTGGTACAAGCCATTGGCAAATCTAAAGTATCTGTCCTGGTTTGTCACTCACAAGGCGAATGTGGAATGCTCTGTGGATCCAGACTTGAATCACCTTCACCAATTTGGACAGTTGGAACAAGGATGAGCTTAGTCTTCCGTTGCCCCTCAGGCCACTCACTCACCAGTGAGTTGTGTAAAGTGCCTGATCTGTTAATAACTACTCTGGTGTGAAATTAATTCTAGTACAGGACAGGACAGCAAGCTCTTGATAGCAGCTAAGGTTGGACTCCTGATCTCAGCCTCTGTGCTGTTTTGCACGAGAAAGTGCTGGTCCATTATGCTGCCAGTAAAGATGGCACTCAGACTCTGTATAATACAATTTGAAATTCTACTTATTAGAGCTAACAGCAAGAAGAAACAGACTGTAGTATAGGTATGGTTATATCCTTTTAGATGCTAGGAACCCTGAATTGCGCAGCATTCAGTGGGCCTCCGATCAGAGCACAGGATGCAATGCTGACCCTGTCCATAGAAAGGGTTACCCCATTTTGATTGTTCGAGCTATTAAAGGATTTTCTTAGTAGAAGACAACTCTATTCAGCATTTCTCGAGGACTTCCTGCACTTCTAGATAAAGGCAAGGACACGCAGGTGGTGTAATCAGTGGTGCCGAGTGGGAGCTGCCCACAGCACCTCTCTTCGGAGCGAGCTGGCTGAGTCTGTCACGCAGCCAGGGTATCTGCATAGCACAAGATAGGCCTGAAGGCCACGCCGCACATGCAGCACGGTGTGGCACAGCCTGGCATGGGCCTGGGCCTGCCCAGGTTAACTGTTATGTGGGTCACTGATTCCTCCATGTATAATGGTCTTCCAGTCAGGATCGCTACGTCCCACCCCTTGATGTACGTACAACTGACCTTTCTTAAAGATATGATTAACTGCAGATTATATCAGTAAGCTGTTTGGCTCCTGGAAAAAATCTTATGGAGACAAGAGGGAGGCTTGGAACAGTCCTTTCAAGCTAGTTGCAGCCTCTCGGGCAGGTGTCTTCCTGCAAGTTCTAAAGATTGGTGTCTAGATCCTCCTTCCTGGGCTAGGACCATAAAAGAGCAAAAAGTATCAGTTTTCCTTTATCCCCCACTCTGCCCAAATGCTCTCCCTAGTTATCACTTGCTTTATACACACTTTTGGTGATGTGCTACTTAAAATCCAGAGGTGCCATGTTTTGAATGCTCACTTGGATACACCTCAGGTCTGATTTTTAAAGAAAGATGCATACCCGAGCGCCCTATCATTTTCAAGTGATACAGCAGGCAGCTTTGAAAGTCAAATTCTCATTGTCAGTTTGGACAATGAAATTCAGCAGCTCCTTTTCTTAAGTTTTTAGCTTTATTCTGTCTATACCACCTCTCTGACCTGTAAAATGGGGTCTGTGGTCTCCACAGAGTAAGAAGTGCATACAATTTGTAAGGTGTTTTAAGAGATTTTGACAAGAAGGTTCTGTAGAACTGTCAAGTGCTTCATTGCAGAAGCAGCCCAAACAATTATTTTCTTCTTTTCCTAGTTTTGGTTACCCCGATCCTGATTATCTGCAGCGGGTTCGATCAGAATTGAAAGCAAGAGGAATTGAATAAAGAAATTTATCAACTGTCAGCTCTTACCTGTAATAACTGAACACATAGCAATTAATTTACTATCCAGGCACTAAGAAGGAAGAAGCTACTTTGTCAAACTGCTGTACTTGTATTTCGCAGCTAGCTAAGAAAAGTAATCTTTTCCCATCAGACAGTGTATGTTCTTCTTACACATCATCTACTTCCTTGAATAATGGTATGTGTAACCTTTACAGAATATCTTGCCGAATATCAAATTGTGTATCTTATTTTACCAGTGAAACTGCGCTTTTCCCCACAAGTCTTCAGACTGACCACCAAACCCAATAAATCACTACTAGCTTTTATTCGATCAAACACTTTACCTTTGTGTTATTACATCTGTCAACATGGATAGTATCATGTAACCCATCTGCTGGAAGATTTTTATGCAGCCATTACAGTATCAGCTGTGATCAGGCTGTGATCTTTTGCTTCTTTTCCTTTTCGGGGTAGAAATGGCATTAGTGGTTTGGGTTTTAAACGTGCAGTTAGCATGGATGGGTGGGTGTGTGTGTGTGTGTGTGTGTACATGGATGCTGCTGTATTTTTAACCCCCCCAGAAGTGTTGAATGCTCAGAGCCGTGTTGGAGCAAATGGAAAGTAAAGGTGCCTGTGGCCGTCTCTGATAACAGGGTCCTGGTTGTGTGCCTTCCATCGTGTTGGAGCTTAAATACAACTTTTAAGTCAGCTTTGCAACTATAAAACTATATTCTTCCCATTGCTTCCAATATGTGGTTCAAATTGTATCATTAAGATACTTCTTTGCTACTCTGCACTGTAATTAGCCTGCTAATTACCTTTGTGATGGTGTGGAACAAATAGCTTTCACTTAATGCAGCCATAATTTTTAGTGAGTTAAACCATTTTTGTTACGCTATTGAATATAACTAATAAATAAAATATTAAAATACAGTCTGCTCAGTTCTACATTATTTTCTATAGGTTTTTCCTCCTGTTTTAGATATGTGTAGTTGTATTTTTTTTTTCCATTTAGGAACTTCCCAGCAATGCCATGATTTGGGGTGATTTGGGCCCCATGCCACCTCTTTTTTGTTTTTTTCTTTGAGATTCCCACATTGTCAATAGGTGGTATGACTTTGCTACCTTGACTTTCAGATTTCTTAGTATTGGGCACTGTTTGGTTTCCATGTGGGTTAGGATGACTTTCCCACTGTGGTTTTGTTTTACTGTATTTGTTTTCACATTTTACGCTATTTCAAGCTTCCTCCCTTTTCTGTGCAGTGAGATACCAGCATTCCAGTTGTTTCTAAATACCTGTGCTGTTCTGCACACCAAAACACAGGACTTTGTCCAGGCGGGCTTTGAATATCTCCAGAGAAGGAGACTCCACAACCTCCCTGGGCAGCCTGTTCCAGTGCTCTGTCACCCTCAAAGTGAAGAAGTTCTTCTGCATATTCAACTGAAGCCTCTTATGTTTCAGTTTGTGCCCATTGCCCCTTGTCCTGTCGCTGGGCACCACTGCAAAGAGTCTGGCTCCATCCTCATGACATCCACCCTTAAGATATTTGTATGTGTTGATGAGGTCCCCTCTCAGTCTTTTCTTCAGGCTGAACAAGCCCAGCTCTTTCAGCCTTTCCTCATAGGGGAGATGCTCCAGTCTCTGTTTCATCCTAGTTGCTCTCCTCTGGACTCTTTCTTGAACTGGGGAGCCCAGAACTGGACACAGTACTCCAGGTGGGGTCACCAGGGTAGAGTAGAGGGGCCTTCTTGGCAACAAGGGCACACTGCTGGCTCATGGTCAGCTTGTCATCCACCAGGACTCCCAGGTCCCTCTCAGCAGAGCTGCTCTCCAGCAGGTCAGCCCCCAGCCTGTACTGGTGCATGGGGTTCCACCTCCCCAGGTGCAGCACTCGACACTTGCCCATGTTGGACTTCATCATGTTCCTCTCCGCCCAACTCTCCAGCCTGTGCAGGTCCCGCTGAATGGCAGCGCAGCCTTCCGGCGTATCAGCCACTCCTTCCAGGTTTTTGTCATCAGGGGACTTGCTGAGGGTACGCCCTGTCTCCTCGTCCAGGTCATTGATGAATACATTGAAGATCAAACCTCCCCAACTTCTTTTGGCCTCTTGTGCTTTATTTCTGTCCCAATAAGCCAGTTCACCGATGTCAGACCCCTATTTGACAATTCACTGGCTCCCATTTTATCTGTGGCAGGTTTTGCAGGCTGAGTTTTGCAGCAGAGTCCTACTGACTGTCACTGAAAGCTCCCAAGCCTTTATCCTATCACCAGCCATGCAGACCTTTACTTTCTAATCAAAGCTGTACAGTCGAGGAATAAATCTACCTGATCTGTAATCAAAGTCAGGTATTTTGCCTGAGTTACAGCAAGGGGGAGAGTGTGCACCTGGGCTAGTTTAATAACATTTGGGTATTACTCCTTTCCTCAGTGAACTTTCAGTGAAGTTAGGGGGAAACATTTTCATTTATCTGCTATTTTAGTGTCTCGTATTTCAGCACATTAGTAAGATACGCAAGAAATAGCTGAAAATGGTAACCTTTGCAAGGGGAAGCCCTGAGCGCTCGGTTGAAAATGCCTCAGCTAGCTGACACGTCGGTCTGAGGGAAAATACTTGTTTGTTGCCGTCTTGCACAGCTGCAGAAAGTATTTCTGGCAGAGAATGATGGAAACGGGTAACTTAGCGTCCCGACTCGATTTGAAAACGTAACG